TATTCCATGCCTTCAAAATCAAGCCTATATTACTGTTGTCAGTGTGATTTGTTTATTTTTGCACAAGTATATGCATGCTCATTCTGTCAAGGGGAAACGCTCGGGATGCAATTCACCTTGAACCTCAATTATATTAGATTTCCCCACTGGTTGATCAAGCATGCAAAGAGGACATTTCCAATGCACTAAAACAAAAATAATAATGACTTTTAAACAAACATGCGGCCTTGTGCACGCCTGCGTATTGAGAACGGAAGATTTTACAAGGATCACAATAGTGTGAATACAGATACCGAATCATTGCGGCGAGCAATTTACAAAGTGGTGGTGTAAAAAAGCAATTGCATTACATCTCGAGAGCTGTCAAGCATAGCGCAGAATCATGAATGTACAAGGGTTACGGGTTCAAAGCCAAGGTCAGAGAGACAAAGAAAACAGGTCTTAGGTTGCACCGGTTCCTTGACACTTGCAGTAAATCAGCGAAACCTCAAATATACAGTGGTGGCTAAAAGTGATCTTCGCTCTAGAAAAATCTATATCTTCGGCCTTTATTTAAACTTGCTGATGCTAGGTTGATGCATAGATTTTATAAGTACATAGCGTAGAATAGTAAAAATAATAATAATGCAAAACTAAGAGTTTTAAGAATAAATGCCTGCTATTAATCAAATACAAATGAGAGCCAATGAAACATTAATAACTGACTACAAGGTACTGAATGTATGTTTCCTGTGAACTCATTTCACATAAAATAACTTCAGTTATAAGTTGGTATTTACATTTCTCAAAGACCTTTTTTATATGTTTTACTATTTATAATTCCTCCATCTCTATTGGAAGCAAACGACAGATCATGTGACAGTTGCATTCACACATGCATCATTAAATTATTACATTTAAATTCTCAGTGATTTCCCAGAGATGGGTTGCGGTTGAAAGGGCATCCACTGCATAAAAACGTGTAGTTAAGTTGGCCGTTCATTCCACTGTGGAAACCCCAGATTAATAAAAAGACTAAGCTGGAAAAAAAATGAATGAATGAATGAATGAATGAATGAATGAATGAATGAATTCTCCGTGAACCAGAAGCTGCGATCGTTATTTTTCGTAATGTGATGCAATTCCTAGAGAAACAGAATTTTAAATGAGCAAACAGTGGGTGTGGCTTGTTTTTTCTACCGCAGACTGAATGGAGGCAGTAAAGATCGGGACAGGGGTTTTAGATGAGTTATTACAACCTAACAGACACATCGTGCTCATCATTTCTGTTTGTTGCCAAAATTGACAATTGGATCAGCATTAGGCATGCCCATTACCTCAAAATCACATCATTTAATAAATTAACTGAAAACAAACTGGAAATGCGTTTTCAGATTTCAATTGAAGATTGTAAGGGCAATTTCCTTTTCTTCTTAATGACATGCACAGATTACTTATTTACCAAAAATTTGCAATGTGAGCCAACAAAATCATCTGATAAGTTTTGATTTCTTGGGGACTTTAACAATCAGGGGCAGCCATGAACTAATGGTTAGAGGGGGGGCGCTCAAATTATTATAAAGGGCCATTAATCAAACTTGATTGAGGTTAGTGGGCCGAAGGTAAATATAGTGGCCATGGGTAATTTCCTAATTTATTTAACAATATTTAAAAAATAACTAGAAAATATTGCTTTATATTAAATATTGCAGTATGTTTTTACATTTTATGATTAACTTATTACAGTATAAACAAAATCTAATTTATAACAGAATTACACTAGTGTTTGCCTTGATTTGCTCACTGATGTCTTTTGCATAGCTCTCTATGCATCGAGTGACATTATTTATTGCTGCATTTTTTTTTTTTTTTACAGTTGATACATTTACAACATTTAATTGTAAAATTAAATTTCATTTTGCTTTTTTGTAACTCAGCAATAAAACAAACATAAAAATTACGTCAAATTAGAAATGACAATCTCTTTTAAAGGCATTCGCCCAAACCCCTCTCCGTCATTCTCACTATCTTCTCAGATGGGATGGTGGGGCAGATCAAAGGTTACAAAGGGCCAACTTTGGCCTGCGGAGCCTACTTTGGGCATCTCGGGGTAAAGAGTTGGACTTGTGATCCAAAGGTCACGCGTTTGAGTCCCGGCAATAGCAGGTATTGAAGGAGGGAAGTGAATAAACAGCACTTACTTTTCCCTCAATACCACGGCTGAGGTGAGCGAGCATATCGTTTTGTATGATAGCGTCTGCTAAATGTAAATGTTAACAATGCTGTTAACAATATTCAGGGCAAACAAATAACTTTACCTAATAAGACCTCAATTTATCATCAGGAGCAACACCTATTCATTTTGCTCATATGTTTTTTGACTTTCAAAGTGCTGGTAGCCATTGACTTGTAATACAAGAAGTTTTAAAGTAAAAAGCAATCACCTCTATCTTGTACTTAAAGTCTACGTTAACGAGAAGTACTGCAGGCGTTTATTTTAATATCATGATGGCGTATTTAAAAATAAAACAAAATTTTGAGTAGGAGGCGGTGTTTTATTTCTGTGCTCCTTTCATCTTTCACTCACAGAAAACGAATAGTTGGAGGGGCATCGCTAAAGATATTTTACCAAAACTGTCCAAATGAACAAATGCTAGATTTTCATTAAAGATTCAAAACAAACTGTTAATTTTAAAGTTGATAAACTTGCACAAATTAATTGTTTACCTTGTGCACTAGCAAAATAAACACTGTAATTTTGTCTTTCATTAAGACTTTAACAGCATATAACATTTTGTCAGGGCAACACGGTGGCTCAGTGGTTAGCACTGTTACCTCACAGCAAAAAGGTCTCTGGTTCATGTCCCGGCTGGGCCAGTTGGCATTTCTGTGTAGAGTTTGCATGTTCTCCCCGTGTTGGTGTGGGTTTCCTTCAGGTGCCATTAGACATTCAATATAAGTGAATTGTAAACAAAACTGTCCATAGTATATGAGTGTGTGTGTGAATGCGGGAGTGTATAGGTGTTTCCTAGTACTGGGTTGCAGATAAAAGGACATCCGCTGCATAAAACATATGTCGGAATAGTTTGCGGTTCATTCTGCTGTGGTGACCTCTGAAATAGAGACTAAGCCGAATGAAAATTAATAAATGTTGTCAGTGAACTATTAGGCTTTAGTCTATTTCCTCTGAGTGTAACATATTCAATTTTTTTATAATTTACTTACATTTAAAGGGATAGTTAATCCAAACATTTTGCCATCAGTTACTCAACTCTATTTTAATTTAAATGTAAACCACAGATAAATTTGTCTGTAATGAGTGTGCCTATTGAACAGGTAGAGGAAATTAAGCTTCTTGGAGTTCTTCTTGATAGAAGGTTAAAGTGGTCAAAACAGATTGATAAAATGGTAATAGTTATGGGGAGAGGTTTATCAATTATTAAGAGATGTGTTGAATTTTTACCACAGTACTGTATTTCTCAAATTGTTCAGGCAATTGTTCTTTCTTATCTAGATTACTGTCCAATGGTATGGTCGAGTGCATCAAGTAAAGACTTGGATAAATTACAGTTAGTCCAGAATAGAGCTGTACGACTTATTTTACACTGCAATAGAAGAGTTAATATTATGAAAATGCATAAAACTTTAGGTTGGTTATTGGTGAAGGATAGGGTAATTGTTTCTCTGCTGTGTTTTATAAGAAATATTTCTGTGTTAAAAGTTCCAAGTGTATTATACAGTCAACTTTTGTATAGTAATGTTAGTCATCATTTTAACACCAGGCATGCATTAAAAGGAATTTTTTTGCTTCCCATTTCAAAAACTAATGCAAAGCAACGTACCGTGATGTATAGAGGAATAAAAATATGGAATGAATTGCCATCAGACATTATATGCTTTGTAACAAGTAAAAGGAGGTTTAAAAAATCATTTAAAAAATATTTAATGGAACAATATTAAGTGGATAGTTGATTTGGATGTTATGTATGAATTTTGTATTTTAATGTTTTTATTAGTCTTTGTTGTTGTGTATTAATGTAATTTTGTGTTATGTTCGATGGACCCCAGGAAGAATAGCCACTACCTTGGTAGTGGCTAATGGGGATCCTGATAAATAAATAAAAAATATTTGTTCCAAACCTTGAGCTTATTTCTTCTGTTAAACACCAAACAACATACACTAAATAAGAATGTTAGACCAAAACGAGGCCATTGACTTCCACAGTAGTTTTGGTCTCTACATTAATGGCTAATTTCTTCCAACATTCTTCAAAATATCTTCATTTGTGTTTAACAGAAGATTTAATTGGTAAAATTTAGAATCACTTGAGTGGGCGTAAATGCTGTGGAATTTTTCTTACTTAGTTATTCTTTTAAGGTCATTAAACGGTCATCACTTTGGTCACTACTGTATGAATCAATTTAAAACAACATGAAAACAACCCCAAAAGTTAAATCACAAGCAACACAGAAAGTGATGGAGAGGTGAGGAGGAGAATACTGAAGGCAGATGGACCCTGAGACTGATCAACACCTGTAAAATCGCTCTGACAGTTCGAGCAGGACGGCTGTCCAGATGGAAGTGCGTTTCTCCAGGCACGAGCCACATGCCACCACATTCCACAGACACACTGTAGATCAACACTGTGGGACGAGGCCCCAAGCAAAGCTCATCACTGACAAGTCCCACATTAATAACCAATTACAAGCAACCTGTAAAGGTTTCCAGTGTATTCACTGCATCTCAGAAAGCAAATGTGACTTTTCAGGCTTTGTATAATATGCTGAATCCATTCATTATTCTAATGATCACAGAGGCTTGTCATTTGAATGAGACCCAGACACAGGGAAAAAAGGCTGTCCTCACACATACAGTAATTACTTATTAAATATGTATAATTTCTCATAACGATCAAAACCAGAATGCATGATACACAAACACACAACAGATAGCCACCCTCAGACAGTGGGCACACGTTAAACACGCACACACAAAACGCTCAGGGCACAAAAACACTTACATTCTAAACATCGAGCTTTTTTGTTTACCTTCTCTTGGATATCACAGGCATTTTAAACACGAGATGCTTCCCTCAAATGATTGGCTTACTAGAGACAGGGAGGGAGAAAGAAAAGAGAGTAATTAATTACTTATGTGAACCATTGCATGAGAAAGACAATAAACCTGCCCGGTCGCCATGGATATGACATATTTGCTCAGAAAACAACACAATAATTAGCAAAGCAGAAAGATCCAGCGAGAATATGCGAACTCTGGGGCTTAAAGTGGCAGTGATCTTTTTACACACTATTGCTTTCAGACGCAACATGGCAAACAGGGCACAAACAAACATATTACAAAAGAAATACACCTTAGAAACTAAGCCTGCTAAACGGAAGTTAGCTAACACATGCTGTAGTAAATGTTTATTAATTACTACAGCCAATAAATACATAAAAAAGAGTGGGCAATGCTAAGAAATAATTGTATAAAAATAAAGGTGAATGAATAACATGAATCATCATGAAACTAGTGCATTTACAATGCAATGCAATGTTACACAATTACTAATTATGTAACACGGGCATTTTTTTAAAATATATATTTATGGCTAGAGTTTTTTTTTTGTAATTGTTTTTTGTACTACTGCTGTATTTTTGTCTACTGCTGCTATAATAATTCTTGCAATATGTGTAACATGAACAGTTTTAGAAGTTAATTATTTTCTTTTTAATTGATCATTTGAAACTGAAAGCAAATCTGCTGTCCTCTAATGACCTATTTAATTTTTAAAATGCATAAAAAGGAACATAGTTCAAAATAAAAATAGCATATAACAATTTTAATTAGGAACATGGGACTAAACGATAGATATAGATAGATAGATAGATAGATAGATAGATAGATAGATAGATAGATAGATAGATAGATAGATAGATAGATAGATAGATAGATAGATAGATAGATAGATAGATAGATAGATATCGTTACATTTCACCTATGTAATAATTTAAAAGATGTTTCAAAAGTTTGATCAAGAGCAAAAGTTACACAACAAGTGATCAAGTGAAACACAAAAGTTGCGTTCGACTGTTGATGTAACCATAACAACAGCCGCGTCAGTACTATCAACAAAACTAAATGAACTATAACCCCGTCATAAAACACTGGCATTATTTACCACTTTATAACATATTTACATAACACAAAAGTATATCACATGAAGTGCCACTGAAAAAGACTTAAATACCTGAAAGAAAATTCCCCTTCCTTTATCACCTTCTAAAGACTAAGATAGATAGATAGATAGATAGATAGATAGATAGATAGATAGATAGATAGATAGATAGATAGATAGATAGATAGATAGATAGATAGATAGATAGATAGATACTGCGTATAGTGTACATCCTTGCATATGTTAGTGCATTCACCTTGGACTCGTCTACACCTGTTAGGTGCCCGATTCACACTGTGTGTGTGTATTTGTTTAAAGCATTCACAAAAGCTCCAATGTCAAATTCTGTTTCATCTAACACTTATATTTATATTAACGTTACCAAGAATGACATTAAACACAAAACGAACTCCGAATTGTAGCTCCTGTACACACATGCTGCAGGTAGCCTAAGTGTCAGAGTCATTTATACATCTCTTCTAATCTTGTATAGCTGTATATCGAGCGGACAGGTAACAACATTCAAGCCCCATGTTTTCGGAGGCGACTAAAAAGTTGTGGAGTACTTTTAGACTGGCATGGAGAAAACGCGGAGCGGTTTTCCTGAAGCGGTGTGCGTCTGTCCCGCGCGTGTAGTGTACTGGGGGTGACTGAAGGTGCGAGTTTCACTTCTCACGTTCTGCACTATAACTGACGCGTTTCAATCCAAAACAAAACACAAGCTTTAAGTCAGAAACGCAAACGCTGAATTAAACCCACGCGATCAACTCTGTCATAAACACCTCGTCGTATTAAACTAGCGGCTGTCACAAACAAATAGTTACAATTTAGCAGGGAGAAGCTGTTTATAGCTCATCCAGAAACAAAAGTCTTACCTGTAACGTTACTTCCTGGCTTTTCCACGACTTTCCAACTTAGGACAAATGTTGTGTTTAAGGTGGATGACAAGGGAGCATGCGTGATCAAAGTTGGCTCATTTTTTTCATTTTTTTCTTCTTCTGTTGTTATTATTGGATTTTCCTATTTCTAACATAGGGCGGGTCGCTCGGAAGATCTGCCCTGGAGAGCCGCTTCAGACTGGGAAGAGGAATCCTTAATTGAATATCTCAGTTAGCGCAGTGAGCGAGGGGGAAAACGCGGACTGGATTTTGCGTATCCGCCCCGGTCAGGTTAATTGCACTGTGGTATTGATCCGAGAAGCACTGCAGTGAATGATGTGGGACGTTTTATTCTGTTCGTTCATATGACATTGTTGGGGTGTCTTATGTGATTCAAAATGATGATCTATACATTAAAAAGTATTATGTCTTGTGTTGTGTTCTGCTCTGTTCTAACTTGTATTGCATATTTGGAACATTCCAGTAGTTATAATGTAACATTTACTTCTGATCAGGAAAGAGAAACATATGCAAAATGTGGCTGACTATAGCATATATGTTTTTTATTTTTATGGTTAGACTTGTATACATAATTAGACCTTTTAAAATATGAAATTTCCTTTAATTACATTATTATTGAAGGTAGTTTTTGCTGAACAGAATCATGAAGGTTATAAGAAAAAACACCCTCAAGGTGCTGTGATAATGTATTTCAAAGCTGAACTTCTCCTTATCTAAATTCTGCACTCTTGTGAATTATTGACAAACAGATTATTGCTAATTAGCAGTTTTGTGATGTGCCCTGCTGGACATAAAAAAAGAATAAAAGCTAATCAATAGTATAGTCAACTAACAAGGCAATGCTATGATCTTGGAAAATCAAGTTTTGCAACCATTTGCTGTTGAATTTAAATAATTTGAGAATTAAAAAAATATATGTCAGAAAAAATAGTTCAAAAAAAGTATTAACTCTCCGGATGTGTGTCATTTGTTTACGTGTTAAAATACATTAAACATATTAAAATTATAATTGCATAAACTGTCAAACTAAATGTAAATGTCAACTTAATAATAAACAATAAAAGCACCATTACTGATTGTGTGTTAAACATAGGTATTAATTAAGAAATAAATCAATAGAATAAAAATTTAAATAAAAATAAAATCTTAAAATCCCCATTCAATTAAATTCTTGAAATAATAGTGAATTTGATCAGTGCAATAATTAAAATAAAAGCAATAATAATGGTATGTATGCACAAAAAAATTATACAATTAAAAAAAATAATATATATATATATATATATATATATATATATATATATATATATATATATATTCTTTCTTTTTTAAATAAATACATTTAAATATTTTTTTTATTCACTTAAAACCTTAAAATTATTTAAAAGGATAAGGTGAATCATAAGAACCTTTTAGCACAACAATAAAAGCTATTTAAAATAATTAATTAATACAGAAATATACACCGGCCACTTTATTAGGGACACCTGTGAAACTGCTCGTAAACGCAAATTTCTAATCAGCCAATCATGTGGCAGCAACTCAATGCATCTAGGCGTAAAAGTTATTTATATTAATAAATAACTAAATAATAAATTTGTAAGTTTATATTTAAGATATAAAAGTGTGCATTTAAGGTACAAAAGTGGATCCCATTCCAGCAGGTTTTGCAGAGTGTTTCTGAGAATGTCTATCCATCATCCATTTTATACATTCAAACATTAATACATACATACATACACACGTCTGCATAAATAATTTATCATCTTGCACTGCATCTTTGAAATAAATGTCAATTTATAGGGAAAAAGCATGTAAGCATATTAAAAATGACCAATAATTTTACCAACAATGTCCAGATGTACAGCTTTAAGTCTTTTTTAAAATGTCAACATAAAATAACCTTAATTTTCAGCTATTAAATGTAGGACACAATTATATTTCATATCTGTTGCTTAATAAATATTGAAAGACATGTTCATAGTTCAAATCCCCATCCTATTATTGCCTGTGGGATACAGTTACAAACGGTACATATTTAATGACGAAACAGCGCCACAAGCCCACAATGTTCAGAGGTAAAGCTCATGTTCTGCGGTTCAGACTGTTGCGTTCATCACTTTTAAATGGTTGGTTTGAACATCATGTTACACAAAAGAACAACTTCTCTGAGGTTACACAAAACCTAAGAAATGAACATGCAGAAAAAGCTCAATCGATTGCTGAAGCTTCCCATAATTGCAAGCTTTCTCTAAAAAAAGATTATTTTCTCTATTTTCTAAGCGAATGAGACAGATCCAAAAGTCCCAACAGATTCCGCTCGCCCTTCAGTCGATTCCCCTGATGGTGCAATACTGTGATACAGAATAATTATGTAGTAAGAAAGAGCAAAAATCAATACATTATTCTGCAGATCACTTGATTCAGTAATGACTAGTACAATTATTGCCATCCATTGATTCATTAGAGCGGCTCTCAAGGGCAGACCCAACAAACCCTTAGCCTTCTGACTTCTTCTCCAGTGCCATCACTAATTATGAAACATTAAAAGCTAATCGCAATGTAGGACAAGGTTAGAAGAGCCATACTGCTAGGTGGAACCACTTAAAGCAATTAGTTTCCTTCTGTCCACATATTTGGCCGGATTTCGCTTTCAAGTCACTGGTCATTGCTGTTAAGAGGAAACAACATAAACGGGATCTTCCAGCGGCAACATTTTGAGCGTGACATAAACAAGAATAATTTCTCATCAAAAAAGGGCAGGTAAAAATGCGTTTCGCTTTGGTCTCTGTTGCTGCCTAACTGGAATGGGAGGGGTGTGGGAATAATTGGAACGAGGACAATACTTTTAGTACATTCCATGCAAACTCAACTATGCAAACAATCATTCAAACGGAAGACAACAATAGAAATTGACAAACTGATGAATATCACTTCTAACGTCTGCATTGACAAAGTGATAAAGCACTGTCCATATGGCCCTGCTGACATGTAAGCATTTTTAATGTGAGGACACCTTTGCCCTACGCAAGCAGAAAGCCTTGACACCGGATTCACCGGGTATAATCACCTCTCACATAATGAGCTTTAACACATTGTCTCCTCTCAATCGCATTGCATGAATAATACACCAAAAGAAGACACTTAAATAGTTCTAATCGTAGGTGAAAGGGAGTGACAGATATGAACGTCATTAACAAATCTCAGCCCATTTGTTCCTTTGTCACCATAAGCACAGACATAATAAACATTACCTGCAAAAAATGTGTATAAATTTATTAATTTAATTAATATAAAGAAACATAAATAAATTAAATTGCTTATAAATTGCCTATAAAGTGTAATTATTTTACAAATATTTCCCAAATGATGTTTAACACAGCAATTACATTTTTCAAAGTATCTCAATATGCTATTCTATTATAAAGGAAGTCTTATTTCTTTTAGTTTGGTTGACATACAAAATAAATATTTTAATAAATTGTAAAAATATTAAAAAAAAAAAACAAGTTAAATATTACTTAGTAAGCCCCCTGAAGAATCTTTTTTTTTCTATTGGCTACAGAACGGACCATTGTTGTCAACTGACCTGTCTAATTAACCTAACCTAATTAGTTAAGCCCTTAAATTATCTTCAAAATAAAGTGAAGATAAACTTTAAACTTTAAAACTTTACACTATGTTTAAAAATCTGTTGAAAAATTTTCTCACACTTGGATGGATGGATAGATTGAAATATACGGTAGAACAATGTTTCTCGACTTTGTTCCTGGAGGACCACCAGCTCTGCATATTTTCTGTGTCTCCTTAACCAAACACACCTGATTCAGATCATCAGCTCTTTAGCAGAGACTGAATGACCTGTAATGGGTGTAACAAAGGAGACATCCAAAACATGCAGGGCTGTAGGTCCTCCAGGAACATGGTTGAGAAACACTGCTGTAGAAGGGTAAAGGAATGAATGGAAGTAGTGAAAAAAGTGTTGCATGCAGAACTGTTGCAAACTATTTCTTTGTGTTGAATTTAAACAAACTAATTAAACTTAATAATGTTCAACTTAATTTGTTTGTTTAAATTCAGCCCAAATAAATTGTTTACAACCACTTGACGTAAAGAAAATTTAGTAAATCCAAGGAATCATCTTTGATTACTTTTTTTCAGTGAATAGGGCGACACAGTGGCAAAGTAGGTAGTGCTGTCGCCTCACAGCAAGAAGGTCGCTGGTTCGAGCCTCAGCTCAGTTGGCGTTTCTGTGTGGAGTTTGCATGTTCTCCCTGCGTTTGTGTGGGTTTCCTCCGGGTGCTCCGGTTTCCCCTCACAGTCCAAAGGCATGCGGTACAGATGAATTGGGTAGGCTAAATTGTCCGTGGTGTAGGAGTGTGTATGGATGTTTCCCAGAGACAAGGGCATCCGACAGCGGATTAATAAAGGTACTAAGCCGACAAGAAAATGAATGAAAATGAATGGATGAATAGATACTTGTACTGTTGAATAGCTGTTAGTATTGTTAGATCGCACTTGATACACCTTTGAAAAAGAAATATTACAGGAGAGCTAATAATTTTGCCTGTATATCAAACATTATTTCTATTACCCATAGTCTACAGGATATGTTTTTTTATGTATACATTTCACGACAAGTTATGATTTTAAATTCATTTATTAATTTTCTTTTCGGTTTAGTCCCTTTATTCATCAGGGGCCTCAACAGCGGACTAAACCGCCAACTTAACCAGCATATTTTTTACACAGCAGATGCCCTTCCAGCTGCAACCCAGTACTGAGAAACACCCATACACACTAAATCAAACACATACACTACAGACAGTTTAGTTTATTCAATTCACCTATAGCACACATCTTTGGACTCTGGGGGAAACCAAAGCACCCGAAGGAAATCAATGCTAACATGGGGAGAACATGAAACTGCACACAGAAATAAAAAACTGACCCAGCCGAGGCTCAAACCAGCAACCTTCTTGCTGTGAGGCAACAGTGCTACCCAACGCGTCACCATGTCGCCCCATGATTTTCAATATATATCGTTATTTGCCATAGTTAATGCATTCATATCTAATATATATTTCATATTAAAATTAACTTAATAACTAAGTTGCATTGCATTATGTCATTTCTAACAGAAATAATGTTAATGTATTCATTAAAAAAATATTTATATTATATTTAAACATCTGTTAAAGTAGGATATATATATATATATATATATATATATATA